TGCTAAAAGATTTTTAGAAAATAAAATAAAATTGAAAGTTCATTAAATTGCACATGAGGTTTTAATATAAAGGCATTTTAATTCATTGGGGAATGCATAGGTGTTTTAATAAGTGCTGTTAGACTAACTAGATAACAAAATGACAAATGTAAAATTAGATTTATTATTCACACTCTACATAAGGACCACTGCTAAGTGGATCAGAGATGTACTAACATTATTAGCATGAAAACGTGTTTTCCCATTCAGAACAGAATATTTGGCATGCCCTCTAAAATTCCTAAAATATCACTCATGTTAAATAAAAATATAATTGGAAAATAAAGCATATCCAGATATTGTTAACTGGCGTATAGCAGACCCAGACCAGCTGAGAATTACAAGAAAAGCTAGATATAAAAAACCCAAAAGTCTGTTGGAAAGCATTGGAAAGCCACCAAGACTGCCAGGACTCGAGGGTCCAAGATTTATGCAAGGAGGGAAACTCGATAAGGTGAGCCCAACATTGACTCTGGCTTTATTCTTGAGACATTTCTAATTTGTAAGTGGTGTGGGGAGAAAGGTAGGGAAGTCAAGCAGAAAGCAGCTGCCAAGAAGCAGAGAATCCGACTAAAGCTTGTGGCAATCTCGTGGGGCTGGCAAAGCAGAAGTTGGACTTCTTTGCTACTCAGAGAGCTGGTAATTGAGGGGCTGATATCTTTAGAGAGGGATAGGCAGAAAAGAGACCCCAATATTCTGAGCCGCTTTATATCTTGAGGCAGATGCCAATTTCTAAGTAACCTAGTTGGACAGAAACCAAGCAAAAAGGGGCAGCCAGGAAGCTGATGAGCTACATAGACCTTTTAGCAGTTTTATGATGTTGGGGAGAGCGAAAGTAGGGGAATGGAATTGGTTTTCAGTTGAGACCACTGAAGGACTGTACCAGGACTTATAAAGACTAAAATCTAGCCTTTAGGAAGCCCAAACCCTCATTGGATTAAGCCTTTTTAACTGCCTTCCAGAAGATAAAGACCCATCCAAAGTCTCTGTAAGTTTTCATATAAAATATTGGCATTCAGTTACAAATTCCCAGGCCTACCAATAGATAGGACCAAGAGAAAAAATAGACACTAGAAACAGACCCTCAGATAAACCAGACTTTGGTATTATCAACAGACTTTTTAAAAATAACTATAAATGTGTTTAAGAAGTTTACTAGAAGGCCAGCCGAGTGGCACGTTGTTTAGGAGTTGGCTTGGGACGCCAGCTCTGAGCAGCAGGGCCCCAGTTCGGATCCCACATGAGAGCCAATGATGCTGTGCCCTTACAGCTAAGATGATGAACAACAGCTCGACCTGGAGCTGGGCTGCTGTGAGTTGCCAGTGTAGGCTGCAGTGGGGCTGGTCGGCAGTGGGTATGAGCTTTCGTGAGCTGCCATGAGCCACCGTGGGTGGCCGTCCAATGGCTAGCAAGCAACTGCCTCACCCGGGAAGAGCACAATGATAATACCAACATGTGCCAGTGAAGCGACATCCTCCACAACTAGACTGAAGAACAGAAGGACAGTAACTTGTCTGTTCCCCTTCTCCGATTCCCCAACACTGTTCCCCTCCCTCAATTCTCCAATAAAATTTTAAAAAAAGTTTACCAGAATGCTATAGTTCATATTATTTTTTTAAAACAGTTTTTTTTTAATTGGGGAATTGGGGGCAGGGGAACAGACAAGTTGCTGTCCTTTCGTTCTTCAGTCTAGTTGTGGAGGACATTGCTTCACTGGCCCAAATTGGCACCATCATTGGGCTCTTCCCGGGCGATGCAGATCAATCGCCGGCTTCTGGACGGCTGCTCACGCTGGCTGGTGGCTACACACCATAGCCCATGGCAACCCACCTGCCGTCGCTGGCGACTCATGGCAGCCCAGCTCCAGGTTGAGCTGTTGTTCAGCATCTTAGCTGTAGAGGGCAGTGTCACTGGCCTTCATATGTGGGATCCAAACCGGGGCCCTCTGGCATCCCAAGCCAGCTCTTAACCAACGCACCACTCGGCCGGCCCTATAGTTTATATTTTGAAAACAAATAATAAAGGAAAAATTATAGACCACAATTTTTTCATGAATAGAGATGAAAGAAATCTGAACAAAATATTAGTAAATCAAATACAGCAATGTATAAGAAGGAAAATACAACCAAATCAGATTTATTCCAGAGATGTAAGTTTAGCTTAACATTTTCAAATAAATTATGTAATTCACCACATCAACAAAATGAAAGAAGAAAAAAATATGGTTATCTCAGTGGCACAAAAGCCTTTTGACAAAATTCAACATCCATTTATGAGAAGAACTCAGCAAAGAAAAAATAGAAGGTAGCTGCCTTAATCTGATAAAGTATATAAAAAAGCTACTGCTAACATACTCAGTGTGGCATATTGAAAGCAAGGAAGGTGCCATTATTACCATGTCTGTTCATTGTTATTCTCGAGATGATAGCCAATGCAATAAAGCCAGAGAGATTGAAAAAGAAATAAAAGGTATAAGAACTGGACAGGAAAATGAAAACTATTATTTGCAGAGAACATCATTCTGTACCTAGAAAATCTTAAAGAATGTACAGATAAGTTATTAGAATGAATACATTTAGCAAGGTAACTAGAGACAGTGTACAAAAATCAGTTGCATTTCTACATGGCAGCACCAGTTCTAGAGAAAAGGAAAATTTGAAAGATGTCATTTATAATTGCATTAAGAAAACTTCAAATGACAGTATCATCTATTACTGTGTAACAAATTACCCCAACACTTAATGGCTTAAAACAACCATTTTATTTGTTCACAATTCTGTGGGTCAGCAGTTTGGGCTGGATTTAGCTGGGAGCTGCTTCTGCTGGACTCACCTATGGTTATTCACATGGCTGCGGTCATCGGGCCATCATGAGACTGAATGGTATAAGATGACTTACTTGCATGTCTGGCGCTTGGTGTTGCCTGTCAACAGAACCTCCTTCCACATGGCCTCAGCTTCACCTGGTGGAAGCACCAGAAAGGCAGAGCAAAAGCTCCAAGATCTCGTGAGACCTAGGCTCAGAGGTCCCACATGTGATTAATTCTGCTGCATTTTGTTGGTTGAAGCAAATTACAAGGTGAGTGCAGATTCATGTGGAGGGGAAATAGACTCCAGTAATGGTAGAAGATGCAAAGAATTTATGGACATTTTTAACCTACCACAGATACCTAGGAATAAATTCAACAAAGAGGGAATAAGACCTCTGCACAGAAAATAATTAAACTTTATTGAGAGAAAAATTTAAAGACCTAAATTGTTAAAGGGACATACCATGTCAATACATTGAAAGATTCAATATTGTAAAGTTGTCATTTCTCCTCAAATTGATTAGGATCAAGGATTATCTTTTCAATTAATATTACTTAGTCAATTAGATATCCATCTGGAAAAATGGATCTTGATCTCTACTACACACTATATATAAAAATCAAGTCTATTTTTATAAATTATAAATTTATAGGTAGATTATATAAATATAATTATCAATATAAATTATAGGTAGATTATAAATTTAAATTTGAAGAGTAAAACAATAAAAATTCTATAAGTAAGCATATGGGAATATTTTTATGACCTTGGTATAATAATAATAATAATAATAATAATAATAATAATAATAACAATAATACTTTCTTAACCAGGACACAGAAAGCTCTTACCATAAAGGAAAAGATTGATAAGTTGGATTTTATTAAGACTTAAGACTGATCATCACAAAACACCACTCAAAGAGTAATAAGACAAGTCACAGGATGGGAAGAAATATTTGTAATACACCTATCTGTTCAACAGAGGACTTGTGTACAGAATGTGTAAGAAAAACTCCTACAAAGTAATGAGAAAATAACAGCCCACTGCAAAAATGAGCAAAAGACTTGAGTAGGCACTTCACAAAAAAGATACCCAAATGGCCAGTGTGCGTATTAAAAGGGGCTTAATGGAAATTAAAACCACACTGAAATGCCATTACCAGCCATCAGGATATTTGTTTGTTTGTTTTAAGCTATATGTACCACGTGTTGATGAGGATTTAGAATAACAAATTTCACAGACTGCTGAAGGGACGTAAACCAGTTCAACTGCTTAGGAAAACTGTTTGGCAGTGGATACCAAGGTTGGATGTGTATGTTCTTTATGACCCAGCAGTTCCACTCCCAGGTATACAGTCAAGAAAAAATGCGTATGGATGTGCCTCAAAAGACACATTCAAGTATGTTCATAGCAGCATTATTCATAAGAGCTAAACAACTGGAAACAACACAACTGTTCATCAACAGCAGTGGTTAAATAGCGTTTTATATTGGAATACGATATAGCAATACAAATTAAGAAACTGCCACTCTATGGAACAGCCTAGTGAATCTCACAAACTTAACGTTGACTGTAAGAAGCCACACATAACAACGTACAGCCCGATGATTTTATTTCTATAAAATTCAAAGCAGGAAAAACTAATTTGTGGTGATAGAAGTAGAATCGTGGTTACTTAGGGGAAGAGGAAGTAATGAGTGACTGGGGGTCTGCGAATGGGGAGGGGACGCCTCCACGATGGGACAATAATGTACTTGCTGGTCTGGATGGTGGTTCCATGGTTGTGCTCACGTTGCTGGTCGTTGACCTGTGCACTTGATTAGCGCACCGTTCTGCGTGCGCGGTATACTTCAATCGAAAAGTAAACCACGATAAACGTAGGTACAAAACAGATCAGAAAGACTTATGCTGTGAAGCCAGTAGTGTTTATTTCTGTGTGATATATGTTACTGTGGATGATTATATATATGTATATGTATTTCCTCATATTTTACTTTTATAATTACAGGGAAAATCCTTGTTTATAAAGATCAAAACCCCAACTCTCATGGGAAAGTTGACATGACTTGTAACTGTCATGGAATCCACAGTTAGAGTCCCCTGGAAGCATATGGCTAAAGCATGGCATTTCCTTTCTTCCCTAACTAGGCCCTAAAGAGTACCTTGGGGTTTCCACTGATTCGGTTTGAAGATGCTGTGATTAATCTGGATCCATTCACTCGGGTGCATCCCTATGAGACCAAGGAGTTCATCATCAATGATATCCTGAAACATTTCCAGGAGGTGAGCTTTGGAGAAGAACTTACGGGTTGGAGCATTAGCAGAATGTTCGTTTTAGTTGTTTGTGGATTTTGGTTACTAAGCCCTTACTGTTGAGCCCAGTTAAACATTTCAGCTCTGATTGTTGAGGTATGGATCAGGTCACAGCCCGTGAGCCCATACACATCATGAAAATCCTGAAACAGTGCATTTGATTTATGAGCCGTGAGTGTTGTCCCTCAGAACTAGTCTCAGGGGCTTCCACTAGATTTGTCACAACTTTTAAGGATGTAACTGATGCTTTCATGACAACAGAGAAGACTGTGAACTCTTTATTTACCAGGCACGGGCCTACGTTCAACAACCACACTAATGTTCTTAAAGCCTAGGGGATCCTGCCCTAGAGATGAACTTAAATTTTTTTCTTTTAAGTCATGTTGGATGTTTTCCATTTTGTATTATGCAGACTGCGAAGACCAAAATACAAAGTCAAGGCATATTCCTCAATGAATAAATAGGTCAAGATTGTATGAAATTTATTAGCTGTGAACATAAAAATATATCCTATTCTTGCTTCCTTTTCTCCCTCCTTTGTCCTAACTCCATCCTTTGCTTCTTTCTTTCCCTCCTTGCCTTTCCTACTTGGTGATATTTCCACTGACCTGTAAGGAGTATATGGAGGTATCACTGGACCCTGGTCAGGCAGTGGAGGTACACGAAGTGGAGGGTTACTAAGAGGTCTGAACGCGCCCTCTTTATGCCCCAGCCCCTCCACAGGTTATGAGGGAACCCCAAATCTTCCCGCCCCTCCTACTTTCCTTTTCTAACTCTCCCTGCTGCTGACCAATCCCTATTTGTTAGAACTACGGAAAGGAGAGCATCATGTATATAGTAATAAATATTTGCAAAGAATCTTTTCTGATTCGTACCTTTTTTCCTTCTTCTATTGTACATGGCTTTGAAGTGTATTTAAGAGAGTATGAAAGCAGCCCCTGGGATCTGTGCATTGGGAGAGAGTTAGGTGGAGCTCACGAAAGGAGAGGAGCTTGCCGTGATGAGAATTCAAAGGCAGTTGCTGGTGTTGATGGGAATGGAGGACAAGATGGGTGTCCCACCGTTGTCCTCGGGACGCTATCTGCTACCTGCAGAGCTAACAGGTGCTGCTTTCCTTCTTGTACCCCTGCCCCGCCCTCGACAGGAACTCCTCAGTCAAGCAGCGCGGATCCTGGGATCAGTGGATTTTCTGGGCAACCCCATGGGGCTTCTGAATGACGTTTCTGAAGGGGTGACTGGACTGATAAAGTATGGAAACGTTGGAGGCCTTATCAGAAATGTTACACATGGAGTATCAAACTCGGCTGCCAAGGTAAGGAAATTCCATGGTCATCACCCGCGTGAGTCCTTTATGTTTCTGTAATTTCCGTGGTATCTCCTAGGTTGTGAGAAGTGTCCTCCACGGCCTTGGCTCCGTTGGACGCATGCCCTGCCTTCCGCTCACCCCTGATAACCTGGCGCCCCGCCCGCTGAGTGCACCTCTAAAATAGCTCCCTCTTTTTTGCTCGCCGCTGCCTTGGTCCAGGCTCTCTATCTCTTCCGCGGGCCACTGCGATCGCCTCCGGACCCCCTGCACGGCACCACATCCTTCACAGTGCCGCCAGAATGGACTCTCTCCTTAAAACGTAGAATTTGAGCGTGCCGTTCTCCTGCCCAAAATCCTGCAGTTGTTCCCCGTGGCTTACAGGATGCAGTCCAAACTGAGATCCAGCCTTCCAGAACGAAGCAGCCCTGTAGGTCATCTGAACCCAGCAGCGAGGGACAGGGGTGCAGTTCTCCTGTGTCTTGCTGTCTGGGTGGCGTTTTTGCCCGTTGGCCTCTTGTTTGGTGGGTAGTTTGTTGTTCTGCAGTTTACTGTTTGGCAGGAGCTGGTTTCATGTGTGAAGCTGGAAGAGGGGCGGGGCTGGGCCGGGCTGGGGCGGCGGCTGTTTGACTGCATTCGGAGGGCGCTCAAGGCCTCTGCTTCCCTCCCCTCCTGCCAGCTCAGCCTCCTAACAGCTTCTTCTAGGGATTGACCTTTCACGAGTGAGCCGGCTTTGAAAGAGCACTTGTGCGCTCTGCCTGTTTGCTGCAGAGCATTGGTCGTAGTGAAATCCTAGGTCCACTTGTGCACTCGGCCACCAGGATGTAAACATGGCTTTACCAGAGAGACTTGAATGGTGCCACACAGAAATCCATCTTGAAGGGCAGCTAAGAGTGGAGTTGATAGCGTATCTGTATTGTACGGCACTCTTGATAGTAACGTGCGGAAGCTGGGGATTTATTCCTGTTGTCTAGACTGTTTTCTAGAGCTGATGGTTCTTTAGTCAGATCAGTGTTTTCAATACTATAGTTGTATATTAAACCAGACCAAAAGGTACAGTTTGCCTTGTGGTTCAAACTTGGCAACCCTCTTACTTGCGGAGAAAGGGAGAAAGGCAGAGGCAACAGAGACTTTCTAAATCATGGTTTGGAAACAGTCAGGTTCAAAGTCTGAGCTCGCTCGCACATTTTTGCCGAGTCATTCCTTCCGCTGCCCGTGGACCCCCACTCAGCCCTGACGGCAACAAAACATCAGTCGTGGCACAGTTTCCTCACAGTTCTTTTAGCCACTAAACTTGATGTAAACAGATGCACTTAAATATTTAGTTATAAATACTCAGTTTAAATATTTTATTTAACATGATTAAATTCTAATTAACCTTGCAAGTCTCCTTGGTTTCGTACTTCCTGTTTTGTTTTCGTACCCCCGGGCTTTTCCTTAATTTGAGGAATATATGCACTTATGTTTTACTCAACCTAGAATAGAAATGCACCTATGTACAGGCTTCCTGTGAGAATAAAATGAGATAGGATGCTACGAAAACTTTGAAAACTATAGACTTGAACAGGAGAAACTGGTCTTCACTTTGACTCTTATATTTGCATCGTGTAAAATGTTAAGACTTCAGCCACCAGGGAACCATTTATGCGCTTGAAATGAAAGCCAGTGTGTTGCAGTCTAGCGGAGGAGGGTCTCAGGCATGGAGCGTGGGAGACGCAGAGTCCATCGGGCCAGTCTGGCTGTTAGGAACCCTCCATAGGTAACCTGGATGAGAAGAAGCAAGTTGGAAACTCGCCTGTGACCTCTTCGCAGATGGGCCCTCGTGTGGGTTGCTCCAGAGTTTCTCTGCAGCATCCTGATGAAAAGGGTTGGCCCTCTGTTATTCTCCCTTATTTACTGAAGCCTCGTTCGTTTTCTGGTTCTTCTGTTTCCCCTGGAAAACTGTTTTTGAAGCATGAGAATATAACTTAAGCTGAAAGAAAGGGCAGAATGCTTTTTACCCCTACCGTCGCTCCCAAATCTGTCTGAAGGCCTAGGTGACAATGATCATGCCTTTTATTGGATGTCATGCTTTATATTGCTGTTGGATGTGCATAAAGGAACTGCTTTCCAGGACCCAAAGCCTCAAATGGGAAGCCTGCTCTGCAGGCAGCTGGGGTCCTGTCATGTATTTGTCTTGCCTTTAGTAAGCTAATCAGTATTGGCCCCTAGGTTGCTACTCAGAGAAATTACTGTGTAATTTATTTTGATACCAAGACCCCTGGATGTGTTATAAAAAATAGTCTATATGTCTCTAAGACAAGAAAACAACCTTAAAATTACCACGTCCTGTTGGAAATGGTAGCTCCAAAAGCCAGGTCAATCGACTCAAGACCCATTCGGGTTATCTGTGATTCTGCTAAAGATCTCCATTTTCTTGTAGTTTTGTGGGTTGAAATCAGATCTTTAATGTTGCTTTGGGGGAATGTTTTGTTTGCTTTTCTGTGTACACAAGAGGAGTTTAAGGAAGTGCAAATGACCACAATAATCAACTGTTGGCCTGTGGGAAGTATTCCTTTAAAGAGTGCCTAAGTTCCAGTGATTAAAGAAAAGGGTCAGAGAAGACAGAGCTGCCCTGCCTGAGCCCCACCAGCCTGCCCCACCTGGCTGCACAGACAAGGGGCTTTCACTTTGGTTCGATGGGCTGTGGGTAGAGCGGAGAGCTCCCTAAACCTCCTGTAATTAATTCTAAATATCACATATATGTTGATTTTTCTGGAGCAAGGATCTAAAGTTTTTGTTGGATTCTCAGAGAGGTTCATACCTCCCAAAAGACTATGTCATTGTCATAGACGTAGGGTTGTGTGTGGAGAGGAGCTTGGGGCTGGTATCAGTATACTCGAGTTCCAGCCGCCTTCCTCCCTTTAATCTTTTCCTCTGTTAACCTTGAGGGGTTTTTTTTCTCCACCTATGAAAAGGTGGGAGTAATTTTCCCTGTCCCAGTGACCTGAGGAGCAGAAGAGATGAAGTCTGTGAAAACCCAGTGGGAAGTTAGAAAGGAATTCATTCTGTCACCTGAGAGGGTGATAGACTGCAGGTCTTAGTTGTCTGTGGATAGGTGTGAGTTCTTCACAGCATGTTTTTTATTTCGGTCTATCATACCCACTTCTGGAATTTCTCATTACATTTTCAACCAGTATTTAGTTTATTTACTGTTAGCCTCAAAGAAATATAAGTAGGAAATGACCTATGCCCTTGGTATCCCCTTCATTTCTCTTATCCGTCTCATCCCCAAACCCCCAGAAATCAGCGTGTGGATTCCAGATCTAAGATGATATGATTTAGGGATTAGCCATCGTGCTGTGGGCCTCAGTTCCATCACTCCCTTGTCTGGATCTTTGCAAAGGAACTCCAACCCTTTGAGTAGAACCTCAAAGACCTGATCCTGTTGCTAAGGCCATGGCAAGTCGATCGCGCCTGGAATCCTTTCTTGGAATATGATCTACTTCAGAAAAGCACAGTGTTTTAAACCTCAAAACCATGTCAGAGGAACAGGTTTCTCTCTGCAGCACGAATTTTCCCTAGTTGGGAGTCACATGAATATCTGCAAGACCCTCTAACCTCTTTCAAAGCCAGAGAACTGGGGAGACGCCCATTGAACGAATTCCCTCTTATGTAGACTCCAATTTCCCTTCTGTCTGTAATTATTGTGTAATATTTTCATACACTTACAGGAAAATTACATCGTTATTCTCAAAAAAAAAAAAAAAACCAAGTTCTTTTCAAACTAAGAAAATCTCAGATGTTAACAATAGAGCAAATGATCCCATTCCCTTTTCTGCCCCTGCAGAAACTCAAGTGTTTGCTCTGCACAGCTGTCACCTGGTCTTCCTAAGGGAGGAAAGCCAACAGTATACTTAATTTCTTCCAGCAAGGCAGAGAGCAGCACTTTTGATCATCACTAATGGGACCTCTGCTCTGCTCTGTCCTACTTTCCATTTTCTCTTTGTGTCATTATCAAGGCAGCATAGGACTCTTTTGATCCCGAGAACTTTTTTGATCCCAGCTATGTTTTTATTCTATGATTATGAATGCAGATATTTTAATAATTTTCCCTGTTTTTAACTGAAATTATTTTCATCAAGGTCAGTTGTTCATGGAAATTAGAATTCACGGTTCATTATTTGCTACATGTTAATTTTACTGATAACTTTTTTGTAGTGGTATGGTAGGTTTATTTCTTTATCTTTTGCTGTATGGCATTTATTTCTATAATAATAAGCCCAAATTTCCCAGCTCAAATACTGCAGATCTTAGATTTTTTTGTCAAGGAGCTAGGAGTTTTCTTTTGGTGTTTTCATCAGTACTTCTTAGTCTATATAGTTTTAGCCATTGTTTTATTGTTTTAAATTAGTTTTGTTTGTTATGAACTAAATAAAGACCTAGGAGTTTTATATTATTTTTTGGTGCAAACAGCATTAGTAGGAAAACGACGTATGAGCAGGGTTAAAACGCCCGCTTCATTATGGAACGTGCACTAATTTAGAAACATTTATTGAACACCGTCTGTTTGTCTGGCCTTGGGGTAGACCATTTACATACTTGCATTGCCTTACGTATGTTCATCTCTATTCTCAAACTAGGAAACTGAGACTTGGAGAAGTTCAGTAATTTTTTCAGGATCACAGAACTGGAAATGACAGGGATGGATTTGAAACCAAGTCTAGCTAATTCTAAAGGCCTTGTTTTTTTGCCACATAATGTTTTTCCTTTGTGTATATAAGCCTTTCTTCCAGGTACTATAGAGGTACTATTACCGCTAACTTCCCACCAGAAGCTCATGATTTGACATCACTTTGTTAGCTGGTAAGGTGACTACTACCCATCATCTGTGTCACAAAGCAGGCCCCCAGGAAATAGTTGTGGCCGTGGTCCTTCTCATGTTAGATCGGTCATGAGCGTCACCTTCTCCTTTAGAGGCACAGAGGTTCTTTATAGAACCTTGATGACTGCAAACATGGCTTTACTCA